GATACTAACTTTTGCATGTGATTGGATAAAGCTAACATGAACCAGAAAAGGAGATTACACGTATAATTGATTCTATTTCAGAACAATGTGGGATGAAAGCTCAAAAACATAGAAAAGAAATGATCTGGTGGCCTGGAATTCACAAAATAACGGATGATATACGACACAGAATAGTGATAAACATAGAAGGATTCTTAATAATAATGAAGGTCAATGATGAGAGCTAGTAATACGATGCACATTAAGACATCTAAGAAGCTTCCTTCAGTGAATATAGTGTGTAAAACTCAATTATAATGCATTTGTGACACATAACCAAGCATGAAATTGTTAACCTGAAACTGAATATAAGGGGGGGGGGGGGGGGGGGGGGGGGGAGGTAAAGAAAAACAACATGGCTCCATAACCAAGCATGAAATTGTTACCTGAAACTGAATGTTCAATTTCTTGCCTGACTCTGCCTCCTGTATGCTAAAAGCCGACTGCTCCACCAAGAGAGTTAGAGAGAGTTCACCATAAGCCTAAATCAAAAACCAAATAGAAACTCAAAAACCAACAAATCACAATCAAAGGAAGAATGTTAAGCTTGAAGAAAAACAAATCCTAGCAAAATCCACATATCAAACTTTGATGTCTTCTGAATCAGCCACATCATGCACTGTTTTCTTTTGAAACCCATATTAACATGTTAAAAAGCCATATAACAAATAAAAGTCGTCTCACTAAATAGCATGGAGAAGAAAAATAAACACAAATCAAGAAACTAAGCGGGAGAAAAACTCCAAGAAGAAACTGAAGTCACATTACCAAAAGGAACACCTAACATTGCAGCTATGCTATATTAACTTTTTCCTCTGATTTGCTCAAGCTTACCTGAACCAGAAAAAGAGATCACACCAACAATCGATTCTAACCCGGAATAACACGGCAAGAAAGCTCAACCAGAGAGCATAAATGATTTGGTGATCTGAAATTCAAGAGAGAACGGATGACATATGACACAGAATGGCCTGGACAAAAGAATTGATATCTGTATATTGTTCCTGCAACAAGCACATAGACTAATCAAATGCAAGTAATTACATAGTGATAAACAAATAAGGATTCTTAATAATTACATACCCAAGCATGAACTTGTCAACCTGAAACTGCATACAATACATTTAGAAGAGAATGCAATTTTATGCGATAAATTTATGGAAGGAGCATCACAAAGTCATGTCTTCAACCTCTTAAACATAGATGTGACATATAAATGTTATACTGAACCTAGCCTGGGTCTGAACCGTGTATGCCACTTGTTTAGTCCTGCCTTATACAACCTGCAAGTAATTTCAAACATGAGTAAGACCACAAAATAGCAGTAACATCTCCATTCCCCATCTTCCATAAATAGCACAATGATGCCACATATCTATATTAAAACCTCATAAAACTTGCAAAGAAGTTTCAGGTACTGACCATGGAGGAAGCTGCTACAGGGAGCTCACCCACTGTCCTTGAAAAGCAGCCGAGATCCGAAGAAAAAGAGATGTTGACACTGTTATTATACTAAATAGTAATCATACATCAATGAAGATGACGAATCATGAATTCACTTACATGACTCTTCAAGCAGCTCTACATATCATTCGCGGAACATGCAACAAAGAATACTAGCATTAGAACTTATAGAGAGAAGAAAATATCTAGAAGACCGTCGAACTCCAAGTGGAACTCCAAAACCTACACCAGCATCAACAAAAACAACCATACTAATCATTATCAACAACAAGCAGACCAACAACTCAAATATATTTTAATCATTATCAGCTCTTCCTAATCCAACCAAGAGAGTTATGCCCAATTTTAATCCTACTTCTCCTCAGCGCGCACCACAAGCACGAAATTCATTCCCGTCGTCAAAACTGAAGTTTCAAAACTTGCTGACTTTGCCTCCTTGATACTAGAAACCGACTACGCAATCGTTTTTTCACCGAAAACCTAAATCGAATAAGAAATCAAATAAACTAGTTCTTACCTGTGGGCGACAATAGACGAATGCTATGCTTTCGTTCTTAATGGTAATCAACCAACTACCACACTTAAAGAACAAAAACACCAACCAAATTAAATAACAAAAAAGCTGATGAAAGCAACAACTAATCCAGGTTGAAAGGAAAGGAAAACTTACATGTCTCCTATGTCACATGGTCCAACTCAAGAGTACTGATGTAAGATCGACTTTCATGGATATATGTAATCTATAACAAATGAAGTAGTGATTCAGTGCAAAAGACCAGATTTAAGTTCTTCAATATATTTCTTAGCTCTCTCATGTTTCCTAGATTTAAGTTAATAAAACTGAGTTACAACATCAACACACTCTTTACCACCGAAAAGGCTTTTATCTTCTATGAGTCACATCTAAAGCATTTTTAAACTCCTAAAGCAAGAATACCAAGATAAGAAGTACCTTTGTCCATAAATATTTACGTCGTATATGCAATGCTGCTGATAATACACCAAGAACAGACCTGCATACTCTGCCAAGATGGTTGTAGAACCAATCGCAAATTTAGTTCATTTTCCTCCCTAAGTCCACTCTCATACTGTCATTCACAAACATATCTTTACAAAATGCTAATTAATTGCATGCATGCGAGATTCCTTGAGGGAATCATTAAATCCCCAAAACCAATAGACCAAACCCTTTTATAATTCATATGTAATGTGTCCTGAAGATACCCCCAACTAGTTTTCCCCTATTATAATAAGACCACAACCATACAACTGAGCTTGCCACCACAATCACTTAGGCATGTTTATTAGGCTAGCTACTAATCAATGATCTATAACCAGCTCTCGTAAAATCATAGTTCCTGATTAAATTACGAGAGCTAGCATGTTGAGATTACAATAGAGTTAAATTTCTCCAAAACCCTCCATGAGACTTGTTTAACAGAACATTTTTAGCCTCGAGTCATTCATACTACTTGTAGCTACGAAAGCAAAAATGTACACCAGCATGGCATGAATAGAGCTATATGGTTGGGAAACATACCTTTGAATGGCTGCAACTTGACAATTTGCGTAAGGGGAATACTACTACACCTTCAAAACTTGCAATTCATTCTCCTCCACAAGGTATGCTTCCACTTGCCCTCGTGAGATCAAGGCTTGCACAAAAAGCAAAAGTGGTTTCTACTATAGTTGTTGCGGGACGTGTTACAACAACCTCTGCCTAGCTCTGCCTCTCCCTTCCATGATCTCTGGCCACCCGCACCCACTAAAAATCCACTTCTTCCCACCATACGATTTCAGCTACGACCTTTGCCAGAACCCCAACCACAAAGGAGGAATCCACCACTGTTGCGTCTGCGAGTGCGAAGCACATATTGCATGTGCGATGCCGCACAAGAACTCTGAGCCTGCTACCTTGCCAGACAACCTAGTGCGCTAGATCTTGAATTATTCACAGACTGATCACGATATTATGCAGTTGTTCGGCTGCTCCCACTGAGCCTAGGGGTTCCTGACTTCCTGCCATCACCGATGAGGAAATCGATAGAGAAGAACAACCCGCAGTGGCTCACGTCAGCGAAGCGGGAGGAGATGGTGTAATTGCAAACGGAGCTTTCGATGAATTCTATTCAGAAGTCGGGGAATTGTGCCTCGCCGGCAGAGAATTTGTCGGTGTCTGGATCTAGGGTTAGGGATTTATTTTCGAGAGGGTTGGGTTTTCGCTGCAGGACTTATTTTCGAGAGAACAAAGTAAAGAGATAGGAGGATGCTTTTTTTAGAGAGAGACAGACAAGTAGCTTTTTCGTTTTTGCATCTGATAGAATTCTTTTTTAATTTGCACAAAATAAAATTCTATTTTAATCTAGAGCCTTCAGCGGTCTTTGAACCGTTGGATGAGACTGCTGCTATATGCAAATCCACATAAATGCTGCAGGGGTTAGGAGAACCCTTGTCAATAAAGCCCTGCCATATGTCTATTTATTTGTAGTGCACGCGGAAGAAATCGAAGTACTCAACTTAGTTTAGGAACCCATAGATATTATCGTATCGTCAAGATAAAGAAGTAGAACTATATTACCTTGTACTGAAGAGTTAAGGAAATAGGGATGAATCATTCTAAATTTCAACAAAACCGACATGAATGATAGTATTGTGAAACTTCTCAAACCAAGCTCGAAGAATCTGTTTTTGAGCCCAAACCATGTCTGCATCTCCTTTCGTACAACAAGTCATCTAGCAAAATGAATCATCTCCTGAAGATCGCCTTCAAAAAATGCATTCTTCATGTCTAGTGATACCATAGCCTATATAGAGAACGGTGAAGCCTACAAACGGAATGTTTACATCTCCTTTTGTATAGCTAGCTAGTCGTTTAGCGAAATGAATCATCTCCTCAAGATCACTCTGAAGAAAATCTCTTCAACATGTTCAACTATACCAGAGAGTCCAAGCACATTATCGATCACTGAAGTCTGAACTGGAAGAGATGAAATGAATAGTAATTAAGCACACTTGCCCACCACTAAAATCAATGATAAGTTAGTCCAGAATCAAACCCAACAAACCGATCTTTTCAGTAACTTCAAAGTCCGGCATCTCCTTGTCTTATACAAAAACCTTTTGTCACTCCAGCCGATCAGAGCCGGGGAAAAAAAAAATATCAACGTCACCCGACAATAATCCCCCTTCACACAAATTCGACACTACTAAATGGAAAAACAAAAACAAAAATCACATACTCCTCGAACATCGCCGAAACCTATATATCCTCCACACAATAGAAAACGCCGCCAAACTTTATTATTAAATATTCATCAGCCGTATAGCATAGCATTAATAGCATAGCATTTCTCAATAATTGCCTTTCGTGTCGGCTTCTTCCCTGGCGTGACTATACAAGGGTACACCCGAAAAAAAGCTGACGTTGTTATAAATAGAAGCCGGCAGCAAAAAATATTCAGAGACGGAAAACATTATTATTCACTGAGGTACGATCAATGGCGACGAAATGCGGGTTGTCGTTGCCTTTTCTTTTCGTGTTCTTCTGCATGGTGGTTTTGCAGGTTCTTCTTAAGTGTTGTTCTTCCGCCGCCGTTATGAGTGATAATAGCGTCCCGCCGCCGCCGCCGCCGCCGGCTGTGTATGTATTTGGCGACTCGTTGTTTGATGCGGGGACGAATAATTACTTGGAGAATGCGGACGTCCGGGTAAAGGCCGACTTCCTGTTTTATGGGATCGATTTCCCTCGTTCTTTGCCCACAGGCAGGTTCAGCAACGGTTTCAATCTTGCTGACCAAATCGGTATGTTGCCCTCGTCCCTGGTTAACTAATCTCGTCTCTTTGTAGACCCATTGTACCAAAAAAAATTAACGGTATGACATTGTGTCGACATCGTTGTTCAATTTTCATACCACTAAAAGTCGTCTATCGATTTAGACAGTGTTTTAACCAAAAATTCATCTAAGGTATGTACAACATAAACAAAAAAACATAGCGTAAGTTTCGGGATGTGTTTTTATATTCTGAAATTATTCCTAAACTACATTTATCATGAAAAATTATGAGGAATGTCATTCTTAAAGTATCCTCCGAAAAAAAAAAATTATCCATGAATTTCGTCACTCATATGATGCTGAAAAATTCTTCACGTTGTTCATTGCTTTAAGTGATTTTTCAACACGTAGCAATGACAACTGATAACAGCACACAACACTAAGTTTTAAGTTTACGTTTTTATTAAACTCGGTTACATAATATATTAGTTAGAAGTTAAAAAGAGATGACAGAATATTACTCTTTTGTGGAATTATTTACAATAATAGGAACATATTGTGCTTAATCCACAATCACAACAAAAATATACAACTAAATTTTTGGACCAAGGTGGTGCAAATGACCTTCCTTGGTTTCAAGTGGTGTCGCCACTAAACTTACGCTCTGATAAGATATTTTTCCGGTTGGGTCCTCGACACAGTACAATTTCATAAACAAGGTCATATTTAGCATTTTTATTATCAATGTCTAATCAAGGTCAAGCAAGGTTTAAACTTATGATGTATGATATATGTAATAGATGTAACTCGATTATATTTAATTTATTATTTTTTAAGCAATGTTTTTTTATGAAAAGGATTTATTTCCTTTTTTATGCGATTACGTTCTATTAACACTAAGGAATGGTGGAATGGTAAATAACAAAGTTTTATGGTATTTATAAATTTCGAGGGTAAATTTTTGTCAGCAATAATAAAATGTCGCTGCATCCTTGGAACGACGATTATAAAACATTCACTGTACGTTCTCACAAGTTCTCTGAAACCCAAAAGCAAAATTGGGTGGTGGCATATCTTATAAAATTCACACTTTAAATAGCTCTTTAAGTTTCTGGCTTTTCAAACTAGTTGATTTTGCCCCGATCTATGTTATGCACCCCTATTATTATAAAATTAACAGCTCAAACCCTAGAAGAAATCGAGATTCAGACACATACCTCAGACTTTTCAACCTCGTTCTTTCCGCGCTGCAAATGTTTTATCGGTCAAATATTAGTAGACGTTGTTGTTGGTTTTTTTTTTTTCAGCACGACACGTCCATAGTAAATTACACTGGAATTAAATCACTTGCGAATTTCTTGGACAGTTAAGAAGATGGGACTACGCAGAAGCCCGCCGCCATTCCTCTCGCTTGTCGCCGGCGGGATGTTCTCCCCCAATTTCAACCGAACTATAATCAAAGGCGTCAACTTCGCTTCAGCAGGCTCTGGAATCTTCGACTCAACCGGCTCTAAATTTATCGTAAATGTTTTTTTTTTTTCGTCGTTGAATAGCAAACAAATTATTTTAAAACATCAATTATATAGTACATTAATAAAGGTTTGGATTCCGGTACAAATGTCTCACCTGCAAACCTATATAAAACCCCAATCATGACATAGTGATACGATGATACGCTCGGATTTTGCAAGTCGGAGTTTTGTACCTTATTCGATCACATTAGAGGATGTTCGAAATAAATTAATAAAATCCTCTGCATGCATGCAGGTGGTACCGCTGAACACCCAGATCCAGCAATTCTCGACCGTCGTCGAGAACCTGACGTGCCTACTCGGCCAAATGCCGGCCGCCGCTCACCTCGCCGAGTCCGTGTTTCTGATCAGCGCCGGGAGCAATGATATTTTCGATTACATGAAGAATGCCAGTACCGGCGGCATAAGTTTCATCAACGTCTCTGCCAAGGCTTTAGTCGCATCTATGATATCACAATACGGTCTCCAACTTCAGGTAACCAATCGCGATCCACTTCCTAATTAATAACAGCACATATGCCCGTTTCGCAAGAATTGATTTTAAACGGTGGTATGAGATCCATAATAATCTTCTAACAATAGTTCAAGTTATTGATTGAAATGTCTTTTGTTTGAATGTCGATGACCCACATTGGTAAGCACATGGTATTTGATCTATGTGCAAACTGCAAACTCAAAGTCTTTACGTATTAGTATGTGGTATAAGATTATTTATGGAATCTCTCTCAACAATTTCAGATGTTGGGACCAACTGATTTATGACATGGTATCAAAACTAGTTTTGAGAAGTGGCCGTGTGTTCGAATATCCATACCTCCACAAGATTAACTGTTATTTAAATTTTAAAGTACAAGGTATGCTAAGCCTATTCAAACTTCAAGACCTGTGAATTGGCTTTTGTGTAAGCGAGCCTGCAAAAGAGTGATATAAACTCCATAATACATTTTTTTTAACAACTCGAGTTATTGAATCCTAAAATAGTTGGGATGTTCATTAATGACCACGAGTTTGACTTTAATGGCAGGGTCTGTACAGAAGAGGAGCTCGAAAGTTCGGGATAGTGGGGGTTCCAACAGTAGGGTGCTGCCCATTTCTACGCTCTTTCAATGTCACCGGCAGCTGCAACGATGGAGCCAACCTGCTGGCGCAAGCCTTCATGGAAGGCCTGAAAACTGTTGCCCAGCAGATTAGAACCGTAGCTCCAGATGTGCAGTTTTCCCTCGCTAATGCTTTCAACCTCTCCTTCGACTTCATCCAAAACCCTAATGCTCTCAAGCTTCAGGGTAATTCTTAAGCCCTAGCACGAACCACCTCCTTCAACCAGTACCATTTTTTTTATAAACGAGATTAATGCTGTTCAAGGATTTTATGCACCAATTAGTTGATGGATTGAATCGAAACACAACCTTGCATGTTTCAAACCACCTCCTTCAACCAGAAGGATCTTCTAGAAATAAATGATAGTAGAGATGGAAGAATTTTTTCAGCATTTCAAATTTTCTCTAACGAGAGCAAAATTAGGAAGGGTAGATTTGTCTTTACAGTTATTTGTCTTATTATAGTAAAGAAATACATCATTCCCGTTATTTGAAATCATGGTCTCTTTAAACAGGACATGAATCATTACCAATTAAACTAAATAAATTTTATGTATTTATTTAAATAAAAATATACATAAACCTAAAATCTTGCAAACATATGGCTTTTCCACTACGAATTTCATAATAATTTTTATTCAATTCGATTTTACCCATTAATGTAGCTACCAAATAAAAATATACATTTCAAATATTTTAAATTTTTTAAAATGTACATCGTAAACAAGTCATATCCAAATAACATTCCAACCATCCGATTCTTATTATGGCAGTCAAGGTTTTAGAGTAATTGATGATATATATTTTTCTCCTCCAGGGTTCAAGGACGTGGCGGGTTCGTGCTGTGGGAATGCAACGGTGCCTTGCAGCCCGAACGCCACGGTTTGTGAGAACCGTGACGAGAGCTTATTCTGGGACGGGTTCCATCCGACCCAGTTCGCCGCCAAATTGTCGGCCAAGGCATTCTTCGGCGACAACTCGAGGTACGTTTCGCCCGTCAGTTTCAGTCAGCTGTTTTGGAACTGAGCCCACCGCCGTTTACGCACAAGGATTTTCGACGACGGAGGAGAATAAGGAACTCTGCCACGGTGCATTTGGGACTTTCTGTTTTTGATTCGCAACACAGTATTTTCCCGACGGAGTGTTTTTGTTTGAAATAATTAGCAGATGATAATCTATACGTATGACCATCTGCTTCAGGTTTATAGAGATTTATGCTTCTGCTTTGGTTTCATGGATGTGTAACTAATTGTGCTTCCGGTAATAAAACTTTCGCCTACCATTAATAATACATACATATAGAGTGAAAAGTTGATTGTTATATATGATGATTGTGAAAAGCTGCACCGTCGCCACTCGCCACCCCTTCTCGCCGGAGTAGATGACCGGAAAAAGGTATAAGCGGCATAAATCTCGGCAGAAATCAGTCTGTGGACCACTGGTCTCTCTGTTGACCATGCGTGCCTTTGACCTGCGGTCTCTCTGTCGACCCTGCGTTTGACAATTGGTTGACCTACATTTGACCCTCAATTTCAATTATGTTTGACCATTGTTAATTTACTTAAATTATAGAATAATTTTATTGAAAATATGTGCACAATGTACATTGTTATTAAAATTATTTATACTAGACTTATAATTGATTATATAAATGTTAGACTTGATTAGTTTAATTTAAATATTCCAACTGTAATTGATTACTTGTGATTTAATCAAAATTATGAATATGTGTACATTGTGTTGATGGAATCGAGCACGAGATTCCCTCGCTTGAAGCCTGTATATGCTGTCAATTTTCTCAAACCTAATTCAATTTGTTAGAGGTAAGGAATGAAGCAAAGAGAAGAATTTGCAGAAGGATAAATTCAATCGACAGTTAGAACGTAGTTTGGCCCTGCTGTAGATTTTGCAGAAGCAGCTTCTGGCTGGAGCTTTTGGATAAGTACTTTTCAAAAAAAGCAGTTGAGTGTTTGGCTCTAAAACTATTAGAAGTGCTTTTTAATATGAAAGATTGTGTAAAATGACTATAAAGGACATATAATATAAAATATGAATAAAAATTCTAAACAATAAAATGTAAACAAAATGGATCTTGTTAGATTTCTTTTATATTAAATAATATGATTTTATAATTTATTTTATTTTTAAAATGATATAAATGAAGGAAAATTATATTTTCTGGAATAAAATTAAAATATGGTAAGGATAATCTTGTATTTTCAAAACAGTTTTTCGCAGAAGCTCTAAATCGGAGCTTCTACTTTTATGTTATACAAAAGCGCTTTTCGGTTTTTCAAAAACCGAGCTTTTACAGGTGTTTGGCCCTGCTTCAGCTTTTAAAGCCTAAAAACACTTTTAAAAGTCGGGCCAAACATAGGGTATGTATCCAGCCGATACGAACGTATGGGCTGAGGTAGGAACATCTACTTGGACTAGACTAATATTTTTACTATTTGTGGCCCAACCCTGTTCAGTCCAGTTTTCACTGCACTCTCGCTTAAGGACGATGAACCCCTTTTCTTATCGATCACACACGCAGTTTCCTTAGCTCTCTCTGTATGATTTGATCTCCAGAAAAAGTTGTCTCTTCTTCTCATTCCTTGAGTCTTCTTTACACTGATGGGAGCTAGCCGTTGATCTTCTGTTAAGGTAAGCTTCTGATTTGAATTTCTTTCCATCTTCATCAGCTGCGGCAAAATGTAAGTTTTATAGCAATTCACCACCCTTGCACTTGATCCGTGTTTCATGATTTAGGCCTCGAAGGATCAATTACGTTTGATCGGTTGTTACATTAAGGTATTAAACATAATACATACTAGACTTATAAAGTGAAGATAGTTATAAAAAAAAATATTTATCGTATTGTGTGTTAGGCTTATAAACAATTATTTGAATGTTATAATTTTAATTAATTTAATGTATATGTTATAATTTTAATTAATTATTAATGATTTAATTTAGTTCTAGGAAATTTGCCTACACCTAGTTTTGTTTCCACTGCTCTATACTTTGTATGAATAGTGATAGCGACATGGACGAGTTATTTTTTATGGAAGAATGTTATTTTAGTATGAATTTTTGTTTTGGATGAACTTTATTTGTTAAAAATCATGTTAGCAATTTAATTGAACTTATGATTGTCTAAAGCGCGAATGATATGTTAGTTATGAATGAATTACAAACCATTTTACCAATTTAATTGAACTTATGGTGGTTTGTAGTCCAAATGTTATTATGTTAGTTACAAATGAATCTTATTTCTGACAAAATATTTTAGCAATTTAATTGAACTTAGGGTGGTTTGTAATCTGAATTGTTGATGTGACTTGAATCGGACTATCAGCCGCTATGATTGGATTAGTCGAGGTTTTCTCGCCAGTGGTCAGACATACTTCGATCAGAGTGCTACTAGCAATAGTGACACATTATGACTTGGAGCTCGAGCAGCTAGACGTGAAGACAGCTTTCCTACACGGAGAGTTGGAGGAAGAAATTTACATGACTCAGCAAGAAGGATTCCAGGTTCCAAGAAAAGAAGACTATGTTTGTAAGCTGAAAAAGTCCTTGTATGAACTTAAGCAATCTCCGACGCAGTGGTACAAGAGATTTGACAGTTACATGCTTGAGCTAGGCTACAACAGAAGTCCATATGATTGTTGTGTGTATCACAGCAAGGTGGAGGATTATCATATGTTCGACCGTAGGGAGAAGGTGCGAGGTTGCTCGCATTCTAATTAGAACTGTTCGATGATCTATCTTGTTATGTATGTGGATGATATGCTCATAGCTGCGAGGTCGAAGTCTGATATCCAGAAGTTGAAGGGGCTTCTCAGTGCTGAGTTTGAGATGAAGGATTTGGGAGTTGCTCAAAGATCTTGGGTATGGAGCTTTATAGGGACAGGTCGAAGAAGAAGCTTTTCTTGTCACAGAAGAGGTACATCCAGAAGATACCGTCGAGGTTTGGCATGTCTTCAGCAAAGCCCTTAAATACTCCTAGTGCTTCAAATGTTCATCTATCCTCAGCTTATGCACCGCATTCAGAGGCTGAGAAGGAGTACATGTCGAGAGTCCCATATGCTAGTGCAATAGGTAGATTGATGTACATTATGGTATGCACTAGACCTGATCTTGCACATGTTGTTAGTGTTGTCAGCAGGTTAATGATACAACCTGGAAAGGAGCATTGGCAGGCTGTGAAGAGGATCTTCCGGTACCTTAAGGGCACACCTGAAGTGGGGATTAGCTTCGGAAGTGATACAGAGTGCTTGGTGTCTGGGTATTCCGACTCAGACTATGCTGGAGATGTTGACACGAGGAGATCGATGACCGGTTATGTATTCACTCTTAGGAGTTCTGTAGTGAGCTGGAAGGCAACTTTGCAGTCGGCGGTGACATTGTCTACGACTGAGGCAGAGTATATGGTGTTGACAAAAGTTTCTAAGGAGGGAATATGGTTGAAGGGACTAGTTGGTGATCTAGGTCTACATCATGATCAGGCAGTGGTGTATTGCGATAGTTTGAGTGCAATATGCTTGGCCAAGGATCAAGTCCACCATGAGAGGACTAAGCACATCGACGTGAGGTATTGACTCACTCCTACTGTCACTCTAGAAAATGGCCAAGTGTAACCACTTCCTAAAGCGTAGTATAGCGGGTTTGGGTTTTATTATCAACCCGGGTCCTAGATGTGATGACTACTCGGTGAATTCTCGTTATTTAGCAGTGAAGTTTTAGTGCAACTCAAGCAAACAAAAACACAAAGCAAGTAAGCGGTTGTTGTCAAGTCAAGAGAGGTCACCCGGATATGGTTCCCCCTAGACTGCAGTTAAGTCGGATTGCAATTTACCAAGTTCAGTTTTCATGAAAGTTATACTGCGGAAGGTTCTTGATTAGTCCGAAGTCTCGACTAAAGGTCTTCAGACCCTCTCAATCTGAGTCTCTAGCGGGCGACTAACCTCCACCGGAGTAAACAGATTGAGGCCCTAGCGAACCAAACCTCCACTACCGAATTGAATTCGGTACAGAATAGCGAATTGGCTCCTCGACTAAAGTCACCAATTCGCCACCTTCGATTAAGGGTACTCTATCAACCTATGCAGATATTCTCATTCTAGGTCAAAGCAGAAACAACAGGAATTTGATCAGGATTCAAGTCATTCAATCATTCAAACCTCAATCGAATATAATCAATTCACAAACTCTGTACTTGGGTTCATACAATCAGACCTAGCATACAAATCTAGGGTTCCCCATACCCAGATGAATGGGGGAACTACTCCATAGAGAAAGAAGCAAAAGCAGATTCAGACGCGGAAATCATACTGTGAAGACGGATTTCTGCTCCTGGACGTTTAATCGCACTTCTCCAAGCTCAAGCCGGGCTCCAATGGTGATGAAGATCAATCTATGGCGCTTGGGAACTCTGGTTCGTCGCTTTCTCTCTCTAGGTATCGCTTTCTCTCTCAAAAACTCGGAACCCTTCAATGTTGGCCTTCTTCTTCCTTTTATCAGCTGCCTGGTCGCGATACCTGGTCGAAATACCCGGTCGGGTATTTTGGGTTTCGACCGGGTATTTTCAAAACACGTCGTTTCATTAAAGGAGAAAATCCCCGGTCACTCTCCATAATCCCCGACCGGGGATTTTAGCCATTTTGCCCGGGCCCCCCTCTGCTTCTCACGGGGCCGAAAACGATAAATACCCGGTCGGGTATTTTGCCACCTGACCGGCTATTTTCCTCCTGCGGCTTACTTTGTCCCAACTTCACTCCTTTCGACCCAGAAATCGTTCCTCCGCCTCGATTCCAACGCCGGGACCTGAAATATGACATAAACACATACCCTGGCGTGAAATCGGCTTAAAACACTAGGATCCACATCTCAAACGGCTTCAGAATGGGGTGAAAACATGTGTAATTATTGGTCTATCAAACTCCCCCACACTTAACCGTTTGCTTGTCCCTAAGAAAACCAAGTCAGACACCAGGTAAGCTCAAAACGTTTCAATCAAGCATGCTTTAGGACAAATC